TCGTTTCCTGACTTGTTAATTTTAGCCATTCTGACTAGTGTGAGGTGGTATCTCATTGAGGTTTTGATTTGGATTTCCCTGATGCCGAGCGATGTTGAACACTTTTTCATGTGTCTGTTGGCCATTTGGATGTCTTCTTTGGAAAAATGTCTGTTCATGTCTTCTGCCCATTTCATGTCTTCTGCCCATTTCTTGATTGGATCATCTGTTCTTTGGGTGTTGAGTTTGATAAATTCTTTATAGATTTTGGATACTAGCCCTTTATCTGATATGTCATTTGCAAATATCTTCTCCCATTCTGTCGATTGTCGTTTGGTTTTGTGGACTGTTTCCTTTGCTTTGCAAAAGCTTTTTATCTTGATGAAGTCCCAATAGTTCATTTTTGCCCTTGCTTCCCTTGCCTTTGGTGATGTTTCTAGGAAGAAGTTGCTGCATCCTCTCCCCGTTTTTAATTGCCAGTTATTTGTGTTTTTAATATTGTTCCAAAATAGAGAATTTTGGTTGCAGAGCAAATAAATCTATAGGTTACTCATTTTCATTTACCTCTCTTCTAGGCATTTTGGCTGCTCTCTACCAGGAAAATTGGTTATATTCATATTATTTTTAATGCCTCATTCCTTGAAAGTACCCATTACTTAAATTAACATCACATAGAATTAAAAAACCCTTTACCTTAACTGTCTTAAATCAATTAAGTGCTAAGTAGTTTGGGAAAACAGTGTTCGCAGTTTTGGCTCATTTATATTTGCAGAATATAATATATCTGTCTCCAAAGTATTAACCTCACAGTAGATAGTAAAATATTTCTGTTATACCAGTTCATATTTGAAATAAAAAACTGCCTGAGTCATACTGGATTGTGGAACATAATGGAAAAAATTAGAAGATACTTTTTTGTTTCTGAAGACAATGACTAAGGTTAAGAAAGCAAAGAAAAATGAGAGTATCTCCAATATTGACCTACTTTCTTATTTGCCACATTGAAGTTTGTAAAGTGATTCACTTTGGCCCCAAGTGTATATACTTTTTCCTTAGTCTAGTAGAGTATCTTTAGAAAGGGAAAAACTGATTCCCTTTCCAAAATATTAATCATTATCCACGAAGATTCAAGATCATAAATTAAATTTGTATGATGAGGGTCTAGTAATTAGTCACTGTTCACTGACCCCAACATTGATAATAAAATTTTTGAGTGTTTGGTTGTATAATACATACATAATTTTCTTTGTTATCTAAAGCAGTTTTTTATATTCTGCTTCTGGTATCATGCAAAATCAGCAACATGTCATACAATGTAAGGAAATCCACCTTGTATACTTTCTAAAATTCTTCTCGGTTGTAAATTAATATTACCTAATAAACTCCAGTGCTCTCTTCCTCATTTTTGATACATGTAGCGCATGGTCTTACTGAGTTTTCTTTATATATTTATTTTTCCCCACAGCTCAGTCATATTCATGCTCTTCCAAATTATTTAATCTGATTTAAAACAGTGTGTGTTTGTCATTTTCATGATAATTACTTTATTGGGTATCTTTTTCTCTGTCAATAATAGAGTTTTCACAAATTTACACAGAAATGGAATTATAAGTTTTCTTTGTTTTTCATTTTTCTTGTTCTTTAGATACTTTGAAAATTTCTGAATTTTGCCAACAGTAGTTTATCTAAAATAAAACATGTTACAGCATTAGAACTTTACAATTAAAGTATAAAATACTGGTCTTGAAAGTCTCAGAATAGTTCGTGGTTCTGGCCTGCCACGGACATCTGAACATCTTTTAGGGAGCCTCTAGAATATTATATTCCCAGTGTTATAAATAGGTAAGGTGTTTTTATTTTGTGTGTACATGTATGTGAAAGGAATACTTGTGCAGCTAATGATTTGCTGTGTTTTGATAATTTATTTCACAATGATTAATTGTGGGAATTTTTGTCATTACATGTAGAGTGTGCTTTTTCTTAAAAGACAATCTGCAGACTAAATAAATGGGTGTAAAGTATCGTTTTAAAAGGTTCTGTTTAAGACTTAGAATATGATAAAACGGATTTCAATTTATTGGTCTCATTCCAAAGGAGAAGCAGAGACACACCTGAGATAGTACTAACGTCATTTGGGATTTTATTTTTAATTTAACAAATTTAAATTTGGTGCTCTTCATTCAACATACCCACAATTTAGCATTTCTTGGATAACATAAAATTTGAAAAACTATATATAGCTCACTACTAGTTTTAAAATATGTAACCTGAAATCATTCCAGAATATTTTAAGGCATTTGGCAAAGAGTTTATTTTGTAAAATAGCATGGAACTTTGAGTAGGTTTTAAAAAAAATTTAGAATTAGTTACAGATGATTTAATGTTTGTCATTCTTTCTTGGGGGCAAATATTTTAAATCTTAAGACAGGCAGAGTGCCACAGTGCTGACCACATACTATTATGCAGTTTTCATTGTTTCCAGTCAAGTTATTGTGGCCTACTCTGTAGCTAGATTCATTCTAGTATCCAAGTCTCAATTTCAAAGATTCTAATTTTAATCTTATGAACTATATTTGGTCAAGACATTTTGAGTATTCATACTTATAAGAACCTACCTTGTAGCATCTACTTAATATCACCATAGTTCAAATTATTACTTATATTCCATATATAATGTATGTGTATGTATAAACATATAGTATGATCCAGTTTGTAATTCACTTGGTATTTACACTGTGACCCTGCTTCTAACTGTGTGGGCATATCCAGCACAATGTAGGGAAATAAAAGACTTGAAGGAAATATTGGGTTATGTTAATAGTTATTACTGGGAGTGGCAGGGTTTTGACTAGTTTTGATTTTTCTTTTTATATTTTCTAATTTATCTTCAGTGATTATCAGTACCTCCCATTTTGACAAGTTTTTTCTTCTTATATAATATTTTCTAGTTTGTTTAGGACTGGTTTTGATTATTCTTTATATATCATATTTTCTAATTTATTTGCAGTGAGATACTAGTACCTCTTTATTTAGAAAATAAGTATTTTCAATTTGCTTAAAAATTATTTAGCTCCTCATAAAGATGTCTATAATATCTATTCTTACAGGTGCTAGTAGAATTGCAAAGTCAAAACTGCAAATCATAGGAACCTATTTTGCATTAGTTGGCAGCTCAAGAATAAATGTTGATAAATATTCCAATACTGAGTATATTTGAAAAAATCATTTCACAAAGCACTTTATCTATAGCTGCATTAAAAAATAGTTTTATCTCATAATTTATATTAATGAATTAATCTCTGATACATAAATAAAAGAAAGTATAAAAGAAGGAAAGGAATTTTGTTTTTACTCCTGATATTTATGAGTGCTTATTTTTTATCAAGTATATTTTATTTCAAAATAACATATTATACATAAGAATCACCAGCGGAAGATACCAGAATGCATCTTGGGTCTTACCCCCAGAGATTCTGATTAAGAAGGTCTGAATTAGAAACCAAGAATCTATGGTGTATATAAGCACCCACGTGATTTTGATGCAGGCAGTCCAATAAATGATAATAGATTATTTATTCTTTTCATCTCTTATTCCTCAGCTAGATCTGTGATCTCCAAGGTATAATGAATACATCCCCAGCAGTTGCACAATGCAGCCCACCAGGGTGAAGGAAGAGGAAGTTAGAACTTCTATTTATCTCTCTCATTTCCTTACGTTCTATTTCTGTATGTTATTTCTTTATGTTTTATGATGTATAGGATTATTGATATGTAGTATATTATAATAAATACAAATAGAAACATTTGTCAGAATTACTTTTAAACAGCATATAAATTGTTTAGCACATTGGTCTCTGGTATAGTCGCTTTATTGATGCTGTATTAAATGTTTTCTATTTCAAAAATAGATGATAGACACCTTATTGTCAAGTGACAACTATATTTTTATACGTGTGCTTCTCTACCCTCTTTGTCCTTGTTACCAGGTAATGCTTTTCCTTGGACTATCAGCTTGCATCATTTCAGCATGTATACCCTTTTCGGAAAACAAGTGACACTTTGCCTAGTGGAACCTATGGGTTGTACCTCTACTCTAGCTGTTACATCTCAAAAACTACTTGCTACAGGACCTGATACAAGGCATTCATTTGTTGTCTGTCTCCATGTTGACCTAGAGTCACTTCAGATAAAATGCTCGAACCCTCAGGTTAGTATAGTTGATTTATGAAAGGAAATTTAAAATAATGTGATTTAAGAACAATTGTTATCAATTTTGTAAAGGGTTTCTCTTCTGTTTAGTGTCCTAAATTATTTTTAACAGAGCCATCAAGATCAGAATGGTTAGATTAAGTATTGCTTTGAAGCTCTCTCAATTTTCGTAACTTAAACTCTTCTGAAAATGTAATGGCGGCAGCATAAATGCATCCTTTGGCTGAAAGAATGAAATCAGTTGCAGATGTAAAGTGGCTGCTTTATTATCACACTGGAAGAGCCTTTGAATGGATCGAATATAATTTTCAACCAGATTCTCACTCAGAACTTCTTTTGCTCTACACGTAATATTTAAAAAAAAGCACTGTTTACTACTTAAGAAATATATTTTGCTACTCCCATAACATTTCAGTTGATATAAGCCAAATATGTTGAATTCTGTATTGTTACAACTTAATATGAATTTCAGTTTCCTGGATTTATATAAATTATTCATTGCATGTAGTTAACTTGTTTCTTTAACCTTAAGCAGACTGTGGTATACTTTCTACATAGATTGTCAGTGTTGAATACTATTTGAAATTATATTTTAAAACAATTCTTTTTAAGTAGGCATTGGATCCAACAGGTCAATATTGATAAATCTATGTTTATCTCAGCATTAGTGGTTACAAGCCACTAATTAAGCCAGTTTTTAGAGTGTGTTTTTTTAAGTGGGTTCAAATATTATTTCATATTTCATAGAGCCTCCTTACTGATACCATCCTCCTTTCTTCTCTTCTCCCTATCTGGTTAATGGAGGATTAAAGGGACCTAATGGCTGCCAGATTTCTGAATATCATGTGAAGTGGTACAGTGTAAACTCTTAACTAGACTTTGAAAGTTTTTCAACATATATTTTTTCTAAAATAACTACTAAAAATAAAATGCAAAAATACAAAGAGATAGGGCCAAAAAGCCAACAAATGTATTAAAATGGAATACCAAAAAATGTTCAGATGATCTAAAGAAGTCAAGAAATGGTAACAGAGTTTAAAAACAGGGTAGAAACAAAAATGAAATCTTGCCATTTGCAATGACGTGGATGGAGCTAGAGTCTCTTACGCTAAGCGAAATAAGTCAGAGAAAGACATACCATATGATTTCACTTATATGTGGAATTTAAGAAACAAAACAGGTGAACATAGGGGAAGGGGGAAAAAAAAGAGAGGGAGGCAAACCATAAGAGACTCTTAACTGTAGAGAACAAAGAAGATTAATGGAGCGAGGTGGGTGGGGGATGGGCTAAATGGGTGATGGGTATTAAGGAGGGTACTAGTTGTGAGGAGCACTGGGTATTCTATGTAAGTGATGAATCACTAAATTCTCCCTAAACCAATATTACCCTGTATGTTAACTAACTAGTATTTAAATAAAAACTTGTAACAAAAATAAATAAATAAATAAAATGGTAGAGCTGAGCTATTTTCACCAACAATGTTAAATGTTAATGATGTTAACCAAGAGTCTTTAGACCATGAGTTAGCAAACAAAAGCCTGCAGGACAAAAACTCAGTTTTTACATTTTGTCTGAGGTTGCTTAAACAGTATGGCTCACAAAGCCTAGAATGTTTACTATCTGACCCTTTAAGGGAAAGTTTGCTGACCTCTAGTCCAGCTATTCCTATTAAAAGGCAAAGATTTAGGGCACCTGGGTGGCTCAGTGGTTAAGCGACTGCCTTTGGCTCAGGTCATGATCCTGGAGTCCCTGGATCTAGTCCCACGTTGGGCTCCCTGCTCGGCAGGGAGTCTGCTTCTCCCTCTGACCCTCCCCACTCTCATGTGCCCTCTCTCATTCTCTCTCTCTCAAATAAACAAATAAAATCTTTAAAAAAATTTTTTAAAAAATTAAAAAAAGGCAAAGATTTATAGAGCAAGACTCTACTATATATTGCTTAAAAGAGAAGCATTTGAAACATAAAGAAATAGATATAATATAAATAAATGCATAGGAACAGTATACCATACAAACAGCATAGGACGGCTGGACTTGCTTATTTTAATATCAAATAAACAAAAGGGAAAAGGGTATTAGCAGAAATAAATAATGACATGAAACAAAAATGGGTAGAATTAAAGGAGAAAAACAGATGATTCTATTCCGTGCTGTGTAGTGGGAACTTTTTACAGTCTCAGCAATTATAAAGCAACTAGATGAAAAATAAATACCACAGACATAATAGGGAAGTTTTATAACACCTTTCTCAGCGATTGATAAAGCAACCAGATAAAAATAAATAATTGGAGACCTAGAAGAATGAAAAATACTACAAACTCACCTTGATCCATTTGACATTCATAGAACACCATATCTAAAAAACATGGACTACACATTTTTTTCAGGTGTACATTGTCTCATTTTGTTTACGAGATTAAAATAAAGTGTATTATCTAATCATAGTCAAAATGTATTAGAAATAAGTAATAAACTATAAAAAAAACTATATATCTAGACAGTAAACATCCTTCTAAATAATCTATGAATCAAAGACAAAATCACTTGGACATAAGAAAATGTTTTGGTTGAATGATAATAAAAAAAGTGGATATAGTAAAGTAGTCTTAAGAGGAAAAACATAATTTTAAATATTTACATTAGAAAGGAAGAAAGATCTTAAGTCATTCACTTAAGGTTCCACTCTAGAAAACTAAGAACAAGATAAACCCAAAAGAAGTAAAAGGCCAGTGTGAGGTGGTATCTCATTGAGGTTTTGATTTGGATTTCCCTGATGCCGAGCGATATTGAGCACTTTTTCATGTGTCTGTTGGCCACTTGGATGTCTTCTTTACACCAGTCAGAATGGCTAAAATTAACAAGTCAGGAAACGACAGATGTTGGCGGGGATGCGGAGAAAGGGGAACCCTCCTACACTGTTGGTGGGAATGCAAGCTGGTGCATCCACTCTGGAAAACAGTATGGAGGTTCCTCAAAAAGTTGAAAATAGAGCTACCCTATGATCCAGCAATTGCACTACTGGGTATTTACCCCAAAGATACAAAAGTAGGGATCCGAAAGGGTACGTGCACCCCAATGTTTATAGCAGCAATGTCCACAATAGCCAAACTGTGGAAAGAGCCAAGATGTCCATCGACAGATGAATGGATAAAGAAGATGTGGTATATATATACAATGGAATATTATGCAGCCATCAAAAGGAATGAGATCTTGCCATTTGCAACGACGTGGATGGAACTGGAGGGTATTATGTTGAGTGAAATAAGTCAAAAAGAGAAAGACATGTATCATATGATCTCACTGATATGAGGAATTCTTAATTGCAGGAAACAAACTGAGGGTTGCTGGAGTGGGGGGTGGGGTGGGAGGGAAGGGGTGACTGGGTGATAGACACTGGGGAGGGTATGTGCTCTGGTGAGCGCTGTGAATTGTGTGAGACTGTTGAATCTCAGATCTGTACCTCTGAAACAAATAATGCAATATATGTTAAGAAAAAAGAAGAAGAAGAAGAAGCTAGCGGGAGGGGAAGAATGAAGGGGGGGAATCGGAGGGGTAGACGAACCATGAGAGACGATGGACTCTGAAAAACAAACTGAGGGTTCTAGAGGGGAGGGGGGTGGGAGGATGGGTTGGCCTGGTGGTGGGTATTGAGGAGGGCACATTCTGCATGGAGCACTAGGTGTTATGCACAAACAATGAATCATGGAACACTTCATCTAAAACTAATGATGTAATGTATGGGGATTAACATAAGAAAAAAAAAAAAAAAGAAGAAGTAAAAGGCCAAAAACAATAAAAGAGCAGAGATGACTAGTACAATAAGGAAAGAGAGAAAGATAAAATACAAATTACCAATATTGGGAATGAAGGAAGAGCATTATCACACAGATCCTATAGACTTTAAAAGAATAATAGAATATGAACAACTTTATGCCAGCAAGTGTAACAATTTAGATGAAATAGAAATTTTTACTGTAAAATAACTTTACAAAAAATGATACAAAGTAGATCTGAATATCCTTTTATATCTATAAAAGAAATTAAATATGCTATCAAAATAAGTTTTAAAAAAAAGTTCAGGCCCCAGTGGGTGAATTTTATCAAATATTCAAGGGAAAAATATAGGAAATTTTCACAAATTTTTTTTCCAGAGATAGAGAATGAAGGATTTCTTCCCAGATTGTTTTATGAAGCCAGTAACCTATTACCAAATTCTGAAAAAGTCTTTACAAAAGAAGGAATTAGAAATCAATATCCCTCATGAAAATAGATGTAAAAATTCTTAATCAAATATTAGCAAATCAATATAGCAGTACATAAAAAAGTTAGTAAATGGTGATAAAGTAGGATTCATCTTAGAAATTCAAGTTTGGTTTAATATTCAAAAATCATTTGGTAGAATTCACCATATCAGTAAAAGAGGTGAGAAAAATCCTATGATAATTTCCATAGATGCAGGTAAAACATCTGATAAAATTTAACCACCCATTCATGATAAAAACTCTTAGCAAATTACAAATATTAGAGAATTTCTCAGAACTGATAAAGGATGTATGTAGGAAATGAAATATCATACTTAATATCATACTGAATTGTTTTCCACTAAAATATGAAAAAAGCCCAGAATGCCTGCTTTTACTACTTGCTCTGTATCATACTGGATGTCCTAGCCATTCCAATAAACCAAACAAAGGAAATTAAAAGGCATAAAGATAAGGAAAGAAGTAAAGATCTATTTGTTTATGATAAAATGTTTTATAGAAAATCCTAGAGGAATTAACAACCTATTACTGGAGTTAATAAAATTATCAAGGTTGCAGGAGACAAGAGTAATGAATAAAAATCAATTGTATTTTCATATAGTAGCAGGAAACAATTGGAAAATGGAATGAACCCATTCCATTTATATAAGGTCCCCAGAAACATAAACAAATGTATCTAACTAAAGATGTCCAAGACCTGTACCTTGAAAACCAGAAATCATTGCTGGGAGAATTTAA